GATTATCCGACTTTACGTACGGTTGCTAGAACATTTGTTGAAACAAGCCGTGTGTCGAAGAAGGTAGAAATTGTGAATTAGTGAGGACAAAGCAAGAAATGTTCTGTTCCTAGGCAAAGACAGTAGTCTAGAATATCCAGAGCTGGTCTGAGGGGAAACATAAATGACTATAATTTGTGCCTCGCCAATTCTTAAGCTACTTAACGACTTTTCTTTAACTACGTCGCGTGCACAACAAAATAACTTGGGAAGGCTGTGACGAATGGTTAATAAACAAGAGCTTTAAAGGCAATGGCAATGTCGTATTTCATGGTCTTATCCTGGCATCCATCTGGATAGACTGGGGGTATTCAATGAGACAAGATTCCCTGTAAGTAGATATTAAAAGTAAACTAATCTCTATAATGGACCGTGGAGACCCATAGGGTTATGAGACGTTGAGGATCCCACGTTTTCTGGACAATCGGGTCACAGATGGCGGTGAGGTTGTCAGCCTTATGAACCGGCCGCCCTTTACAACCAGGAAGATTCTTGGCATTCATTTATTTTTATTACCATTCATCGGTCCATTCAGGTACATAACCATTGGATATAGAAATTGTCAGTAGATTACATTGACATATTACGTAAGATTGTCTTAACCTAAGATAGATAACAATTAAAATATGTATAAGAAACGAATGATTACAAACGAAAATACAAAGATATAATTATTGGGATACCCCAATATCAAATTTATTGTTCCAATCAAGATACTCTAGAACAGAATAAAAAGAGTTTTCTATAAACAACTTTCTCAATTTATGTCGATCCCAGGGCCATAGTGCGGCTAGAAGGGATTCCCTGTAGTTTTTAATGAGCTAATGAGTTAGCTACTTGAATTGGCATGCGTTTACAGGAACCGATGCACCAGAAGGGTCTCTTAGAACTTTAAAACAGATCAGTTTGTCCTGGATGAATATTTGTGATCTGTGAGCCGTGACTTCAAAAAGATTACTGCAGGGAAATGAATTCTCAAAATCCACGAGCACATGTGGGCTGATTTTTAAAACGCACCATAATTATTACGCAAAAACACAATATTTAATATTTCAAATTGTTTATTCATTTTTATTTCTGAAGATCAGTATGCCATGAATATGGCAAATATTTTTATTTTTTTACGACAGTATTTACGCTTATCGTTTAATTTTAAATGAAATTGTGTTAAGTGCCGAGGAAGCATAATCAGAACACTGTATGATGTAAATGCTTTAAAGACTAGGCCTAGCTGTATGGCAAAAGCTATACATACAGTAATGGACGGATCCGGGACTGGTCAAGTGGGATTTGTGGTGGACAAAGTGACGCTGGGGCGGGTTTTCTCCCGTGGCAGGCTACAATAGGCCAATCAGTGGCCGCCGTGCCGAGTGGAACCAGTTGGACTCCACCCCCCACTAAGCGAATATTCTTGGGGCAAAGGGCGGCCGGCGCGTAGGGCTGAAAACCTTGCCGCCAACTATGAGCCGATTGTCTAGAAAATGGGGGAACCTACTATCTCACAACCCTATGGGCCTCCATGGCGTGTTGCAGGGATAGCTACATCTTTTTTTTTTTAACCTAATTAACTTATAGAGTTTGGGGCCGCGCCATTGCTCAAGCGGTTAGTCGCTGGCTTCCCACCGCGGCGGCCCGGGTTCGATCCCGGGATCTGGTCAAGTGAGATTCGTGGTGGACAAAGTGGCGCTGGGGCAGGTTTTCTCATAGTACTTCGGTTTCCCCTGGCAATCTTCATTCCACCAATTGCTCCCAAATCACCCTCATCTATCATCTGGGGCTGGTACAATAGGCCAGAAGTGGCCGCAGTACAAGGGTCTTAAGTCTACCCCACTTTAATTACTCATGGAGCTGAGCCCTTCTGGAGGAGCCGCCAATTCTGCAGCTACTCAAGAATTTCCCAGCATTTTATGGAACCCGAAGGTTCATTACCGTGTTCACAAGAGCCCTCCACTGGTCCCTATCCTGAGCCAGATCTATCCAATCCATACCACCCCATCCTATCTTTCTGAGATCCACTCTAATATTGTTCACCCACCTACGCCTTGGTCTTCCCTGTGGTCTCTTTCTTTCTGGCTTTCCCACCAATATCCTATACGCATTCCTCGTCTCCCCCATTCGTGATACGTGACCTGCCCACCTCATCCTCCTTGACTTGATCATTCTAATTATACTTGGAGAAGAGTACAAGTTATGAAGCTCCTCATTATGCAGTTTTCTCCAACCTCCTGTAACTTCATCTTTCTTCGGTCCAAATATTCTCAACACCCTGTTCTCACACACCCTCATTCTATCTTCCTCCCTTAATGTCAGAGACCAAGTTTCACACCCATACAGAACCACAGGCAAAATTATAGTTCTGTATATTCTAATTTTTATGTTCTTGGACAACAGACGAGAAGACGAAAGGTTCTGGACTGAATGATAGCAAGCATTACTCGAGTTCAATCGCCTCTTAATTTCCTCCTGAATCAGCTTTCGATCTGTTATCGTTGTTCCCAAATATCTGAACTGTGCCACATTTTCAAAACATCTGTTTCCTATCTTCGTGTCAATATTTTGCCTTGCATGTTAGTTCTACCCCACTAGAAAAAAAAAACTTATAGAGTAAACCGATCACAGCGGTCGTGTTTTCTAAGGCATGAAATGTCTTCTTTACCTCGAACCCTGGGATCGTGGGTTCGAATCCCACTCAAGACATGGGTGTCTGTTTGTACGTTTATTCTGTGTTTTTGTTGTCCTGTGTGTAGGTAACGGCCTTGCGAACGTCCGTTCACTCGTCCAAGGAGTTGTACTGTCTGTGTAAAAAAAAAAAAGAAGCGAAACTGAAGAATAGGACAGGGCCCAACAAGGAGTTGTAAAGCCATTCATGAATGAATGAATGAACTCATAGAGCAATAAATGCAATGTATCTGTGTCCGTAGTTCTTATATATAGCGCCACGTCTGGTCCGCTGATGTGAAAAAATTGGAGAGGTTTATATCTATCAGATCAGTCAGGTGTTCTTCAGTTATGAGATAACAGCATAAAAATCCATATTGTTTAATTATTTAACGACTAAGATTTACATAAGAATAAGGATGGGTATAAAAGTTATTAAAACTTTTTCTCGAAACAGTTTTCGCTCCAACAAATATTAAGCAAGTTAGGCGCTTGTTGGGATCGACACGCACACAGAAATATAAGTACGTCTGTATGTAAAGTGTTCATTATTTTTAAATAAAACTATAATATTTGTTCATACTTTTTACTGAAAATCCGTAACATGAGATTTCTTGAATTTTTGTTCGTGAACAAATTGACGGACAGACATGATGAAACTAATAAACCTTTTTTTTTTTTTTGCAAAATTCTATTGAACAAAACCAAGAAGCCAGCGCAAAAAAACACGATTACTCAGATTTCGTCAAACCATCTTCTAAGGCACAGACGAAAATATTTCTACCTAGAAAAGATCTTTCTTACTTCAAAGCAGACGAGACTATGTGTAGACTATGTTTACTGATGATTATTGTGAGAAATCAGCCAAGAATGGAACAGGATATGTTGCCAAATATGCAAAACATATGCAATTTGTGTTTATGCTTTAAGAACGCGAAAAATATGCTTGATCGAAATTGTACCACGAAGAAATCTGGATTGTGCTAGCTGTAGTGCAGTTTTGATAAAATATTTTTACACATATAAATGTTTTTTCTTCGATTTATTTTTATTTTCAGCTTGGGTGTGATATAGTACTCGTATGTGTAATGCTTATTATTTGAATTATTAAACGTTTTTCAAGAAATAATTATTTTTATAGCCCAAAGAAAACGAAACAAACAAATGAAATATAATCCGAATTGTATCTTCCTACTATATCCTGGTTCATCAAATTTGTCAAAAGACTTAACAGACACACGTAATTATTATTTACACATTTAGTTGCAAAGCACCTCAAATTTAATTGAAGTGAACGTAACTCGCACATTCGTAATCAGTCCGTAATAGAAATATTGTGCATACAATTATTATGAAGGAAGGCAACATTTTTATGGTGTTGAAGAACAAGGTGCTGAACAGAATGTAAGTATTTCGATATAAGCGGGACGCTGAGGGAAATTAGCATAATTAGGAACTTCATAATTTAACCCTTCACCAAGTACGTATTATTAGGGCGATCACATTAAGGAATATGAGATTGGCGGGGAATGTAGCAAGCTCGGGAGTTAAGAGAAATGCATACATAAATTTAGTCGAAAAACTGAAATATAGAAAGCACTTTGAAAAGTAGGTGCAGATATTAAAATAATATTAATGTTGATCTTGAAGAAATAACGTATGAGGCTGTGGACTGTGGACAGTGGCCAGTGGCGGGCTCCTTTGAACCAATACTGAGTCTTCAGCTTCCACAAAAGGCAAAGAATTTTCTGTCTGACTCGGCGACTATACCTTCACAGTAAGGGATCTTGTCTGCTGTTGCATTTGTCCGTACCTCAAGAAATGTGAAGATTTCACTTTTATGTTGGCTCTGGATTAAGTTTAAACAAATGTTATAGCTCAGGCATTCCATTTCATTTACTTTCCCGCTGAATTTTCATCGTCTATGCCGTTCGGACCAAACACTTGGTCTCTCAACGCATAAACCGTAAGGACATTTCTTTTTCATGTGCACTGAAATCTATTTTTGACATTTGGCATGTATTCAACGTCCTGTTATGCTATACGGATATCTTTCCACGCATAAAACCGATACTTGAATATTTCGTCATATTTGCTAGAGCATGACGTATTCCAAATGTGATCCAACCAAAATTTCTTATGAAGATAGATAGGTAATCTTAACCGCCGTAGACTCTCCGTATAGCCATTTAGCTGGCGCCTTTCAAAAGTGCTTGTCAGGAAGGTCTATTGAAGGAGAAGAGCTAACGCGCATCCTTCTTTCCTTGCAAACTGAATTGTGTTCGTAATAGACTAGATACCTTAAGTAACTACTGTATCTTCTTCCTGTCTTAAAGTATAGCACGAGAGATTCACAGAATATTTACGGATATGGGACCTAGGAAAACTAAAGGTAAGAGACACACTCATTTAAGTTATAACATTGTACTTACTGAATACTGGAGTGAGGGACATCATACGGATCTTCCACAAAGGAAACCTGGTTTTGGGATTCGTAAAGAACTGTTAAGTCGGAGTCTGATGCTTCAAGTATCTTCCGAATCATTTATCTCTGATTCAGGTAGTTTATTTACTGTTCACTCACCACAACCACCACCACCGTCGTCGTCGTCGTAGTCATTATAACCTAAGTCGTTGAAGTCACATAACCATTTGTGTCAATTATTATTATTACTCATGCTAACCTTGTAATTGGTCTCTGTGCTCTTAAGTTGCACGTCAATAAACATGAACTGAGTTGAATTAGGATGTTGAGCTGCCACACGAATAAATAAGAATTAANTCAACGTGAGTCACTGGACAGCTTTCCGTTGACCGGAAATTTTAATATTGTTTTTTTTTCGGATAGATATAGCCCCCAATATCACTCTATATCTAAATTTACCGATTAAAGTCCGTAGGAACCATAGTTTATTTCTAAATGAATTCCAAATGGAAACCATGAATACGTAATATGGATATCATAACGCAATATTTCCTCGGCAGTTATATACACAAGGAACACAGTTATAGACCAATGGCATTAAGTATATAATGAAGAGCGAATGCATTGTGTTTTCTAAGCTTTTACGGAATAGGACTTCTGGTCTCTTCCATTTCAGAAGGAAGCCAGAATTACTTAAACTTTTATTAGTGTGTAGTACCGCCTGAACGGTCAATCGGCCTGTAGTGAGGCAAAATTTGTACTCTTTACCCAGTTTCTTTGAGTGTGACTGCTTAAATGGAGATGTAATTTGCAGAACATAACAGCACACATTTCGGATTTGATAACCTCATTCAAATTTTATATCAGAGTGAATTAAAAGGTGATACCACTAAGGAGACAATAAGTTGATACGAGGATAATACTAAATTGAATCTTAATAAAATAAGAGGCGAATTTTTAGAATATAGTCACCTCACCCAGAATCCGTTCGAGTGGCAGGCTTTCCTAATATAGGTGAATGCACTTTCTCATTTCTCAAAAGCAAGGACTTCTTCACCAGCTGTGATTTTTCAAGAAGAATCCTAGTCAGTGAGTCATATGATTAACAGAAAGCAAAGAGGTAGTGAGATAGAGATTCATTAAACTATTTATGTGGATATTTGTCCCACTGTGGGACTGCTGAATAAACTTGTTTGCATACTCATCTCCGATTAACTTCTGACCGTTCAAGAAGTGACGCTCATAGCCTTCAGATATTGTACCAAAGATGCTGTACGATTATGTTGAAACTTAATTGTATAATGAAAGAACTTTCCTCTGTAAAATGTTATTAACTGCATACCTTATTTCGAACTTCAAGGACAAATTCCCCAGCTTCCCTTTAAATTTCCGTATTAAATACGAGTACATTCACAACTATCGCTCATATACAAGTATCTAGACTTTTTGATCTGTCTCCAACTGGGAGCCTTCATATTTTTGTAATAATATATTTGTATTTGCATGAATCAATGTACAGTGACACGACAGGTACATTTCTTGAAAAAAAAATCGGACTATATCTCTCCATGCTGGAACCGCAATAAGGCTTCCATAAATGTGAATATCAGTAGAGGTAAGAGGCATCGTAGGACGTTTCAGTCAATTTGCTATTTTTTTTTTCAGATGATGGAGAAGAAGTTACTCTAATGTACTCCAAGCATGAGGTAAGTGTATAGTTTTTTGTAGATAAATGTACTGATTACTTCTCTAAAGTCTCCGTAATGTGTCTCCGTATAGTCTATACTTAAATATTCGACTTTCATGCTTAATTTCTTCTCCATACTCTCCATATTTTAAGATTCTATATGTCATTCGTAAGAATTTCTTTTATTTCCCGAGAATCCGTCTATAGGAGATACAATCAATCATTGACAACCTAGCATGGTACCTTTCCACTGCTAGTCTCAATTCCTGATTCCAATTCGGGAACATAAACTTCCGCAAATCTGGGCAATCACAAGAGTTTCTTGAAAAATCTCCTACAATTTTATAAGTTTCTCTTCATCCCCACATAAATCCTACACATAAACACCACACGTCTTTCTGGATTCACTTAATATTTCATATGTACATGTTTTTCTGAATAATTTTTATGTAAGTCTGGACTGGATTAATCTTGCTTAAGATAGTATCCAGTGTCTGGCTTTTGCGAATATGGACTTGTGAGCCTTCACCTTTCATGAATGACGTGGGAATTCTTCAGTTTCTCAAGGAGGATTATCCTCCACGAAGTTCAATGAACTCAGCAGGTGTGTCAGTTCATTTCTGAAAGCCATTCGGAACAGTGAAGGAGAGTATGAGGGTGTGACGTTGTGAGCACCAAAACGTAAAGACTTAGTACTTGAAGGGAATTCCCATAATTCGTTGTTAACTGAAAGGTAATTTTTACATTTCTGTACATGTAATGATAAACACTGGTAGCACGTAATTCTAAATTTCGCCTACAGCATCTATTGGCAAAAATGTGTAAACCAATGCTTTCGTCGCTACCAAAGATGTTCACTTTTTCATGAAATTAAAGCCAATATAAAAACTTCGATGACGCACCCACAAAGACAACTGTGTAAATGTGACAAATAAATTATAAATGTGAAAACATATGTATTATGTAAGGATTTGTAACGTTTAAATATATATTTAACGGAGGATATTATAAAATAATATATTGGAGTATATCTTTAAGCCACGTTGGTGTATGAAGGTTAATATTATAAAGTAATGACAATTCGACAATCTTCCTTCAAATATTGAAAGTTACTCAGTGCTTGGTGTTATGAATCCAAAGGTTAATTAATGTCCACAAAATCCCGCAATTGGTCCCTATTAGATACGGTTAAATTTAGTTCACACACGCACATCCCATGTTTCTAAAAGCGTGTTTGGGTGACTGAAGACGGGTTTCAGTTTGGTAATTGGATTTATTAGATCTCCACTACTCGTAACTATACTTAATTATTACACTATTACGAGTTTGCACCATTTGCACTCTCTACACGCTAATCTTCTCAGTCTATCTGCAGTAGTTTTCATGTATTTATAACACGGCAATTGTACAAGTCTCGCTGAATTACACACCCCCAATCTCACTGCACTATAGCACACATAAAGTCTTGAAGTCACACAGTAAGTTTTTACTGGTTGACTTTTCAGCTGTCGCCCACTATCACTGACTATCACTGACTATTACATTCATAAAACCTTCAAATCACACTTTCAGATCTTCTTCCTCCCGCGGCTGTCATGCACCGAACACTGATTGAGAACTGACTAACTTCTTAGTAAAAGTCACATTGCGACTGACTGCCAGTCAGTTAGTAAATCTTGATGTCGAACCCCATATGGGGCTCATGACCAGATATTTATTACTGTTCGACAGTTACGGTCTTGTTTTTCGTGAGGCGCTGTCTCTGACGAGAGGACGGGTCTTTCTTTTTTGTATATGCTGCTGGCCCTTGCCAGCGCAGTCTTTCTCGGGTCCGAGTATATTTTACTATCTCAGATTTGATATTTCCCTTTTCGTCGCCTCCTGCGACTCGCGGGATCACGGTGTGGAGGTATTCGACTCCACCTTCTTAGCCAAAGTTAAAGTCAAAGTCATGTTACAACTGACGGTCAGTCAGTCTGTCTGTCTTGGTGTCGAGCCCCAGCTGGGACTCATGACCAGATGTTTTCTTCTTTGTGAAAGTTGCTGTCCTGTCCATTTGGGGCGCCCTCTCTGACGAGAGGTCGGGTCTGTCATTTGTCAGTCAGTCTGTATTAATAAGTCCACTTTCTGTATTTACATAATTTACAAATCCACACTTATACCTTCTAGGTACAATATACACAAGGCCTCTGTCAACCCAGGCATTGTACAGCAGATTATGCCCTATTTCTAGTAGTAATGGCTATCACGACAGTCTAGTCACTTGAACGGTCGTACGCCTGACCGCCGCCAAGTTTAAGCCTCTTATACTTTCTGTGGCTGGCTTCACCTTGCCCAATGTTGTCCAATAATTCTCATTATCATGATTTTGTATGACTTCTGCTTGTTGCCTGCATTATTTTGTTATGTAATCATATACGTATGGAATTTTGAATGCCATGTGCAATTCGCGGACCGGTGTGCGCCTTGGAAAATTGTCAATGGTGCGGAGAACCTTGTTTTGCAGGAGCTGCAATTTAACTAGATGGGTGTCTGCCGCAAATTCCCAGGCGGGACGCCTTCTTAGTCATTCCAGTCTCTCCCATAAACCCTCGAACAGACAAGGCGGAAATGCAGCTTGCTCTCTGTTGCATAATGGTCGCGTCTACAGAGGTGTTGTTAAGCACCGCGTTATTTAGCTGCTGCCGAGATGTGTTCACCGCAGCGCTGCGTAGCAACGAGAGCGGCTCGGCTGGGCACGGCATGGAACGAAGAAAACACCGCTTTCTTTATTGTTGCGTAATCGCCATGCTTGCAGATTCCTGTGGCCCAAACGATTCTTGCATGGCGTAAATACTCCACAATATTGTCCTGTCATCTGCGTAGGTCTTCCAAGGGGTCACTTCCCATGAACTTCTCCGATAAATCTGTGTACATATTGCTCATGTCCTGTGAGTGTTCCCTTATGCCGACCATCTCATCTTGCTTCATGTAATCACATTGGATTAAGAATACGAACTGTAAAACTCTCTATGCAAATTTTTCTTAAATTAATGGCATACTGCTTTCTCCTCAAACGCAGAAAATACAAATGAAAGATTTCAGCGCAGAAATAAGAGCGACCCTGGACATCGCCCACTTCCTGAACCAGGCAGTGTTGCTACTGGACCTGACAGAGACGAACCTGGAATGCGTCGTGGAGCTAATGCTACACAAAATGCTGGACGCCGAGGAACCGCAGTGTACTGTTGCCGAAGCCAAGTCACTTCTCTTCACAAGTGACTCAGGTGAGTTGCAGGCAGCCCGGATAAGCTTCCACATGTTATTTTGCAAAAGAGAAAACCTAGTTTGGAACTATTCGCTGTAGAGATATGCGAGAGGTTAAACCGACACCTGCATTAATCCAGTAAAGAAGGCGCGTAATGAATCTCCTGACCCTAATTCGGAAGGTCCCTCTAACGAAAACGCATCCGCCAATTACTTCTGACGAATATAGAGACATTTGACGTAACATATGTCTTGCTATGTTTCTCTACATAACTGAGCAGGTTAGTTCAAGGAATGAGAACCCTGACTTGTATTGGGAAGATTACCGATTTGAATCTCGGATGGGACACCGACCATACTGATTTTGAAAGTTTCCTTAGTTCCTCCGAGAAGTGCCTGTGGGGACTTCAAATTTGTCTACTACCACCTCCTTCCACATCCTTTGCAGTTCATTATTTACAAATCATCCCACTTTTCGGTGCTACATAGCATGCTTTACAGACATCGTCGTTAAGTATGCAAGAAAATAAATAAATACATAAATATGATGTTGATTGTGGCCATCATCATCATTATCATGAACTTCGTAGGGTCAAGTCGTTAGAGATTGTACTTGTGAATTCCGAGATGGGGTTCACCTGTTCATCGTCACATTGGTCATCTTACGGCAAATCATGTTCTTTGTCTGTAGTGAGGTGTCAGTTGTGGAAGGTAGCTTCTTCCCTTTCTTCCAACATGACTTTTTCAGTTTTGTTGGCATCGTTATATTTGTTCAATTACATCTGTAACGTTCACTCTTTCTCTGATGTTCTGATGTCAGAATTTCTGTGCTGGTCTTATCTAGTAAGCGTATTAATAGTTTTAAAATACGAATCTGCGTTACTTGTAATTATGGCATTCTTTTTCGGAAATAAGTAAATACATCCTGGTAAGAAGTTGAAGGCCAACCAACCAACCAACCAACCAATAAACCAACTTCACGGCACACTCTATTTCTTGACGAACTGATATGCATGGCCCTACTCATTCGATTAAGAATTTCCCTGCTTTTATGAATCCCGAAGGACGATCCATCATTGTACGCTACAACGAGCCACTCCAAACCAACTAATGCTTACACCCTTATATCGTACGATCCATTCGAATGCCAACAGAAGGTTGCAAATTCTATCTCATGAGTTGACACAAAGTGGCAATACATCAGCCATTCTCCGTGAATATGATCTTATTCAGTTCTCTGGCACCGAACATGATGCTGTATGATGTTAACGCAATTAACGTCGTTAATTAGGATCCTGAATACAGACTTAATTGACAAGTTGGGAACATAGTTGCCCACTATTCTGCAAGACCAGATTTCGAATATTGGCAACTCGAACAAGCATGGTATCTATTGAGTCGCCAGTCTTACGGCTAGACGGCTACGCTCGCGTAGGTTACGCGAGCGTACGCGTGCAAATACGAAACACGCTGGCACGAACACGCACGAACAGACCAGAAACATCAGTAGCTTGAGCGGGTAGAGCAGATGCACGGCAGTGAGGCACTCCACACGTCTAGGATGGATTTTGAATATAATCAGTGTAAAGAGTCACGAAACAAACGACATTTCAGGCAACAAGGAACAACCCTGAATATAGGCAGCGTTGTCAAGCGCAAAACGAATTTGCCTACCTTGCTTTTCGAACAGACTGCAAAGGTAGGCAACGTGAACAAGCACGAAAAACACTGGCACGTTAGGTTTTTCACACAGTCCTCAAATATATGCAATGTTAGCAAGGTAGGGACTCAGAGAACACGAACATTCTACATGGACCACAAAAATAGTCGACATGAGCGGGAGTGAATCCATTGACATCCCAGAACACAAATACTTACAACGAGCAAGCGGACAAATACACTAGGATTCTTGGAATACCCATGAGCCTAGCTTCTTCTGTTGTGCTGAAGCATATAAATGTTCAAACTGGTGCTGTCCGTACCATGAGAAATATTGTCAACACTGTGCAAAATTCTTTAGTAAATAACATGATTATTTCTATTAGAACATAAACAATGGAAGTTTTTTTATTGCTAGTGGAGTGGGACTAAGTCCCTTGTACTGCTGCCACTTCTGGCCTGTTGTACCAGCCCCAGATGATAAGTGAGGGTGATTGTGGAGCAATTTGTGGAATGAAGATTGCAGGGGAAACCGAAGTACTCGGAGAAAACTTGCCCAAGTGCCACTGTGTCCACCACAAATCCCACTTGACCAGACCTGGGATCGAACCCGGGCCGCCGCGGTGAGAAACCAGCGACTAACCGCTTGAGCTATGGCGCGGCCACTGCAACAATGGAAGTTTATAGACAACTTATTAAAGAAATGTAATAGTTATCTATGTGTACTGAAGAGTTATTATCATTAAATTCGAAAAATTTCTTGTAACAAAATATTTCTGAACTAAAAGGAGCAGTTGCATTTTTAAACTACTGTCTATTTTATCATTTGATATAAAACACCAATTGACATGCAGACAACATGAAAATACTTAAAAAAAAAATGAAAAATTCAGAAAGGCAGATATGTTTCCTTTCCCAAAGAATGAATTCAAACCATTTGTTTAATTCATCTATGCTTGTCAAGGTGTAACCATTTAAAGAAGTATCATAATTCCTATTACTGTGTATATGAATAATTTTGAAGGGTTCCAGGAGAACACAAAATTAAAATATTAAAGGTCTGATCACTAGTCTTTGTAGCACTTCAGTCATTTTACTCATTTGTAATTTTATTTCTAAGAATGCATTCTCTGTAAGCATTAAATCATTGTTATACTGTTTCAGCCTTACATCTACTGTCACGTACTATACAGGGAGCATGCAGCACCGAAGGAGGCACTAATTTTGATTATGACCAGTCTTGGATATGTGCTCTGTAAGTTCATATTTTCAGAATATTCTGTTCACTTTGACTCTATAAAATCTGACTGGTAGAAAAAGGAAAGAAAAAGAAATGGTGACAGAGGCAAAGAGAAAACAGGACACTGTAAGAAAGTGTGTGTGTGTGTGTGTGTAGGGGGGGGGGGAAGAAATGAACAGTTGTTGGCTGGCTGAAAGGAAAGATCACTGGAAAAATATGAACACATCACTCTTCCACGAGATTTCAATTAAAAGGGGGCACTCTAAGAAAGGTTCCATAAATTGTTCTCCTTTTATTCATTTTGTAGTTAAAAGGGAAGTAAAGAACACGTTTGTTTATGACAGACAATATTAATACTTACCTTATTGTATGAAGTCTTGTATATCTAAACAGGAAGAATCAAAGATTAGTATGTGGGTAATGTTAAGAATATATGATGACCATTATCATGGTTCTAACATGGGCACCAAGAAAAATGTAAATAAAGATGCTTTGTGAAAAACAGAGTAAAGAACATTTTGTTCATTATATTTAAATTTGAACTCTGAATGAAATCAGTAATAAGTAACGATTGTAAGAAAAAAGGAAACTTAATTTTCGAAAGTAAAAATATACATACAATATAAACAATATACAATTGGCTGTAAAATCTAAAATCTTTACAACCACAGCAGCTGTTCCAATACTTTAAAATATTTATAGTTAGTTTGTTAAGATTCTATTTGGATTCGTAAACCAAGCTGGTTCGTGTCGTCCCTCTTATTATTTCTTTTGACATCCGAATGTGTGCCACCTTGTCGTTCTCGAGAAAAGGGTTCTTTAATGTTGTCCTGTATGTGTCCTGTTGTGTAAAAACAACACAGCTGGCCACAAACACATACAGGACAGCAATAAAAAACCCTCTTTTCAAGAATGACAAGGTGGCACACATTCAGCCCCCGTCAAAAAAAAAATAATAAGAGGGACGACACGAACCAGCTTGGTTTACGAATTCCAATAGAATCTTAACAAACCAACTATCAATATTTTAAATTATTGGAACAGCCGCTGTAGTTGTAAAGACTTTAGATTTTACAGACAATTGTATATTGTTTATATTGTATGTATATATTTTAACTTCTAGAACATGTACTGTAATGGTGGCTTCTAACAGTATTGATGTAAAGGTGTCCCTCTGAAGATGGTCTCTGAAGACCGAAACATGTAAGGGCATGATTAATTGAAATAAGAAAATCTTAACCAGTCACACTGGACGGAACTATTTAACTTTTTCATTTCTGAAATAGATATTTTGAATAAAATGCTTTCCTGCACAATTAATATTAGTTCACACAGTGTGGTAGTAGGAATACAATCTTGTAGTTGGTCGAGGCACTGTGCTACAAGCCGGAAGGTCGTGGGTTCAAGTCCCGATGTGGTCATTGGATTTTTTTCAATTGACCTAATCCTTCCAGCTGCACTATGACCCTGGGATCGACTCAGCCCCTAACAGAAATGAGTACCAAGAATATTCTTGAAATATTCTTGGGGGTAAAGGGTGGCCACCATGTAAGGCTGACAACCTTGCCTCCATCTGTGAGCCGATTGTGTAGAAAATGTGGGAACCTCAACACCTCACAACCTTATGAGCCTCCACGGCCTGTTACAGGGATAGCTTTACTTTTATGTGCTTGCTGTAAAATGTTAAGTTTAATGATTTCAGTGTCAACCTTGAATTAAAGAATTAGTTTTATACTTATGCACAATCATTGAGCACTTTAAACAGAACAGTCTTTTGTATGTAGAGACATTTCTGTGCAAAGATGGCTGTGCCATGGCTCAGGCAGTTAGTAGCNCAACTATCAATATTTTAAATTATTGGAACAGCCGCTGTAGTTGTAAAGACTTTAGATTTTACAGACAATTGTATATTGTTTATATTGTATGTATATATTTTAACTTCTAGAACATGTACTGTAATGGTGGCTTCTAACAGGATTGATGTAAAGGTGTCCCTCTGAAGATGGTCTCTGAAGACCGAAACATGTAAGGGCATGATTAATTGAAATAAGAAAATCTTAACCAGTCACACTGGACGGAACTATTTAACTTTTTCATTTCTGAAACAGATATTTTGAATAAAATGCTTTCCTGCACAATTAATATTAGTTCACACAGTGTGGTAGTAGGAATACAATCTTGTAGTTGGTCGAGGCACTGTGCTACAAGCCGGAAGGTCGTGGGTTCAAGTCCCGATGTGGTCATTGGATTTTTTTCAATTGACCTAATCCTTCCAGCTGCACTATGACCCTGGGATCGACTCAGCCCCTAACAGAAATGAGTACCAAGAATATTCTTGAAATATTCTTGGGGGTAAAGGGTGGCCACCATCCAAGTAAGATGGCCGCTAATGAGGTGCATGGTGGAAAGTGTTCCGAGTTACAAGTTGATACTAAAAGTGATAATTTTGAAACAAATTGCCGATATTGCTTTAAATTAAGCAGTGAACTCCAAAAAGCAAAAGATGAAATATTATCCTACAAAGAAATAATTAAAGTGCTTCAAGAAGAACCAAGTGTGAATGCGAGGCATGAACTAAGTAATGATCGGCGTAATCAGTCAAAAACTACATTCATGGATGAAGATTGGGTATTAGGAACAGCAAGAGGTAAAAGGAATCATGATGTTATGAACAGAAACTTAATGCAAATAATACCCACGACTATAAATAAATATCATCTGTTACATAACCTCAAAGAAGATGATGAACTGATAAACTTGGAAAAGAAAGACTTAGGACTAAGTAATACATTGAAATATACCCTAGAAGAAGCTAGGACTAAATGTGCAGATAGTAAGAGGAAATACAATAACAAAGTACTAATAATTGGAGATAGCCATGTTAAAAAGAAAGTGCAGCTGAGCTACGCATTAATTTGGATCACTGTTATGAGATTTTGGGATTTACTAAACCTGGAGCCCAAATGGGAGAAATTCTTGGAACGGCAGTTGAGGAAGTTGCCCTATTAAGCAAGAAGGACATCCTGGTCTTGTGGGCAGGAGCTAATGATATAAGTAAAAATAACACAAATGAAGCATTAAAAAGCTTAATGAAATTTATGGAAAGGCACAAGAGGTTAAACATCATCTTAATACACGCACAACATAGGCATGATCTTATAAATACTTCCTGTGTAAATAAAGAAGTTATTAATTTTTTTTATTTGTTTCATTTTGGCCCGTCACACTAACAGTTACAATTATAAAAGACAAGTCNTGGCCGATGTTGTGCCTCCTATGTAACTTGAGTAGGGAGATTCTTAATATTGTCCGTTATGATTTCTTGGCCCACTGTGCTGTGTATACTGTATACTGTGTATACACAGCACAGCGGGCCAAGAAATCATAATATTGTCTGTTATGATTTCTTGGCCCGCTGTGCTGTGTATGCTGTATACTGTGTATACACAGCACAGCGGGCCAAGAAATCATAACGGACAATATAAGAATCTCCCTACTCAAGTTACATAGGAGGCACAACATCGGCCACCTTGAAGAGAGACGACAGTGGTTATTGACACAAACCGTATGGTTTATGTATTTTAATTTTTGACGAAGTTTTAAAACTTTAAAACAACTTTAAATATTTCTATAACCAGAAAGGCTGCTGTGGGTGATAGATGGAACATTGTGTACTTGGACATTACATGTGTATTTGATATGACAACTGTTGTGATAGTGGTTTCTAAAAAGTGTTTGGTGCCTCTGAAGATGATCCAAATGGATTGAAACATGTAAGGCTAGTGAATCGTCAAGTGAGAAGACTGAAATAGTCACATTGGACAGACTTGTCTTTTATAATTGTAGAAGTTATTAAATTTAATAGGCAAGTAAAGAAAATAATAAAACTACATTCAAATGCAGAATTAATGGAGTTGCTAATTGCTATTGCTAATTATCTTGTTGGTATAATCATATGTGTAACATTGTATCTATTTATTTGAGGTATTCAATTTAGATTTTAACTGTGGTTGAATTGATGTTTCTGTGATTTTATCTGTGATTGTCTTGTGACTGTTGTTTGACAAGTTTTATATTCAGTGCCAGTTGCACACTTGTGAATACTCTGAAACGCTGATTTATGTATGTATGAATGAGTTACAAAGGCATCACTTTACTAGGCATGGACAGCACTGGGGGTAAAAAATCTACTGGGTAAAGAGTTAGTTGCCTCTTAATTGGCCAAGACTATTAAACAGTTTTTAACAAAGGTGGAAACTAATTAAACCCAAATGCAATGGACAGAAGACAACCAGCATGGTGAATATTCATCAGCACTAAATGAAATTGGAGAATTGATATCTACAAACAATTTTTCAAAGTCTGTAGAATCAAAAAAGAGTAAAGGTGAAAAAATACAAAAGTGTCAAAAATCTTTGAGAAGTAGGAAGATACCTATAGCAAAATCAAATAATTTTTTATGGTAAAACTTTCCAGCAAGTGTAAACCTAAGACTACCAATAAAAATGCTTTTAATATCTTTCACCAAAATATAAGAAGTTTGAAGCATAAGTATAGTGAATTATTATGTCACTTTTTTAAGACCATGCACCACATGTACTTTGTTTTACTAAACATCATCTTGATAGTGATGAAATACCTCATCTTAACCTGGACAATTATACTTTAGGTGCATTTTATTGTAGGAGACATTACAAAATGCGTGGAACTTGTATATATGTTCTAAATAACTTAAATACTATTAATATAAATCTTGCCAATTTTTGTTATGATAAGGATATTGAAGCTTGTGCTGTCTCTGTTAATAATGCTAGTCTTAAAATATGTATTTTAACTATCTATAGATTGCCCTCTGGCAATTATGATAAATGTTTGGGTAAATTAGAGTTAATTCTACAAAAATTGTGTAAAAACAAAGCTAAAGTATTTGTCTGTGGGGATTTTAATGTTAACCATATGGACAATAGCCATAAAAAACTAAATTGGATGATATTCTTAGTTCTTTCAATCTAAGA